AAGGAAATAATATCTAGGATACCCAAGACAAATGAAGAGAGAGAAAGATAGGGGAATAAAATGATTATAGAAATAATGAAATTAAATGCAGTAGTTTCCCTCCATTGTAGTCTTCTTATTTAGGCAGCTTTCAAATTCAAATGCACTCATATTCCAGATTTCAAATTTCAAATTCAAATTGCAACAAATTTCAAATTTCAAATTTCAAATTCAAATTCCAACCAATTCCAAATTTTAAATTCAAATTTCTAATCCCAAATTTCAAATTCCAATTCAAATTCAATTTCAAAAATCTCAAACTGCAAAAAATTCAAATTTCAAAATCTCAAACTACAAAATTTCAAATTTCAAAAATCTCAAATTGCAAAATTTCAAATTTCAAAAATTTCATACTCGCAAATTTTAAAACAAATCTCAAACTCGCAAAATTTCAAATTTCAAGAATCTCAAATTACAAGATTTCAAAATTTATAATTTCAAATTTTTATAAATTCAAATTTTCAAAATTCAAACTTTCAACATAATTGATTATGACAACAAGAAAAAAATTTCGACTCTGATAATCAATTAGATGCTCAAATTATCATCTAGACATGTATAAATGCTTTGTTCCTTTAGACACCCATTCATATTTGCCATTAAATATGCCAAAATGTTTTATGTAACATCTATTTGATGTATGACCTAATTTCATGCAATAAAAATATGTTGGTTTTCTTTGAAAAGGTCTAAATGAGTTTCTTAAAGTTTTTTAAACTGGTTTCACATCTGTTTTCCTTGACTCTTTCACAAAAATATTTTTATGAGGTTCTAGACTTTCTTTGGGTTTGTAACCAAGTCCAGCTTTGCTAGAATTTCCTCTTTGATAACCTAATATAGAATCAAGATTTGCAGAAGATTTTCAAAACTTGCTTATTATTTTCTCTAACTTGAAAATCTCATTTTCCAAAAGATTACAATTTTCACAAGGTTTAACAACTTCGTTATTTTTAGACAAAGTTTTAAATTTCTCAACATCTTTCTTTAAGCACTCATTTTCTTTTTCAAGAATACCAACAATATTTTCTAATGCATTAAACTTTTGCCTAAGTGCATTGTATTTCTTAGATAACTTGGTAAAACCTTCATACATATCTTGATATTCTTTAAATAACTCATCATATTCATTTAAGGAATTTGTACTACTTACCTGTGATGAGGCTTCATCATCAGTTTTTATCATCAAACAAAGATTTGCTTCTTCTTTTCCATCACTGCTTTCGGAAGAACTTTCTTGTATTGTGGAAGAATCATTATCCTCACAAGCAATATAAGTTTTGCGTTTGCACTTATAGGTATCAATCTTCTCTTTCTTCTTCTCTTTCTTAAGTTTCGGACAGTGTGATTTGATATGACCAAGTTTTCCACATTCATAGCAATAGAATTTATTTGTTTTCTCCTTTCTTTGCTGTCTCTTTTTCATGTTCTTTATAAAGCGAGAAAATTGTTTAACAAAAAGAGACATATCGGAGTCCGAAAACTTACCTTCATTTTCGCTTTTGTCTTATGAAGATTTTTCTACTTTTAGAGCTATCGTCGTGGTTTGATTTTGTTCACCGTTCTTTAACCTTTGTAGCTCCATCTCATGTTCTTGCAGCTTTCCAAATAGAGTAGCAATATTCATTTTTGTGAGATCCTTTGATTCTGTAATAGTAGTGACCTTTGGTTGCCAATTCCTGTCTAAGGATTTCAAGATCTTTGTGTTCAACTCCTCATTCTCAAAACTCTTTCCTAATGTTTTCAAGTGATTTACTATATGTGTGAAACGTGTTTGGAAATTCGTAATGCTTTCATTTTGCTGCATTTGAAATAATTCATACTCCTTGATGAGTGTGTTTTTACGTGCTCGCTTTACTTCATTTGTTCCTTCATGTGTTACTTCAAGAGTGTCCCATATTTCTTTTGCCGTCTTGCATTGTGAGACCCTGAAAAATTCATTACGAGTTAAGGCAGAAACAATAGCATTTCGAGCTCTTACATCATAATGGCTCTGATACCACTTGTTAGACAAATGACATCTAGAGGGGGGTGAATAGATGCACAAATTAAAATAGATGTCAAATTAAAAATTTATTTGTGAGTCAATAATTTGTTAAAGCGGAAGCAATAATATAATCAGGAAAAGAGAAAGAGATAAGGGAAAGATATTGTTGTTACTCTCCTAAAATCCAAAAATATTATATGTCATTTTTGAATCAACTCTTTCCTTTATCTACACAGGATATTAATTTTGTCTAACATGTCTTTCATGTACCCTTAATGGAGTCTTTGGTTCCCTTTATTCCTGACAACCAAAATCTTATTCAGGATTCACCAAAATCCTCGTCACCTCCTCTTATTACTTATCAATGCAGGAACCAAATGTTTAATCCAATGTCCCTAGTCGGGTCCTCTTTAACATGTCATTCCCAATCATTACTTAATACCACAACTCCTCATAATGATGACTTATGTTGACCAATTGTCATTCGTAAAGGTCATCATTCTATTTGTAATTGTCATGATAATTATAATTTCCTTAGCTAACACATATTATCTCTTTCATATTTTTATATCTTTTGTATCCTTTATTTCTATTCCTAAAAATATGATCGAAACACTTGATCGTCCTAGATAACGACCATGATTTCTGAAATGCAAGCTCTTAAACATAACAACACATGGGAGTTGGTTCTTCTTCTTCAGGAAACAAAAATGATGAAGTTGATCACCTTAAAGCTAGATTGGCAGCCAAAGGGTACACTCAAAATCTATGGTATTGATTATAGTGATACTTTTTCTCTTGCGACCAAAACGACTACAGTGAGACTTTTCCTTGCCATGACTGCCATTTATCATTGGTCTCTCCATCAATTGGATATTAAGAATGTCTTCCTTCACGATGATCTATAAGAGAAAATTTACATGGAGCAACCTCTTGGTTTTATTGGTTAGGAAGAGTCTGGTTAGTTCTGTAAGTTGCCACGTTCTCTTTATGATCTAAAATAATCACCGTGTGCTTGGTTTGAAAAATTTAGTTCCATTGTTCAAGTTTTTGGGCTAAAACAAAGTGAAACAGATCATTCAATTTTCTACTATCACACTGTCTTGGAAAATGCATATACTTAATTGTATATGTTGATGATATAGTTATTTCAAGAAATTATTCTACTAGAATATCTCAATCAAAGAAACACTTATTCAACCATTTTCAGACAAAGGATCTTGGAAATCTCAAATACTCCTTGAGAATTGGAGTAACTCAGTCAAAAGAAGGTGTTGTAATTTCTCAAAGAAAATATGCTCTAAATTTTTTAAACATGATTGATTGTAAACTCGTGAATAATCTTATAGACCAAAATAAGACAGAACAAGGTTGAAAAAATTATTTATCTAACTATTACTAGACCTAATCTATTGTCGTTGATGTGGTTAATCAGTTCATATAAGCCCTTTGTATTGATCATTGAAAAACTATCATTCGTATCTTGAAATACCTAAAAATGGCTCTAAGCTTGAGAGGATCTCAAATCAAATTCATTTATTCCAAGCTTTATACATATAATTTGTATGTTTCAGCATGAAAGATGATATTAGATTCATTAGATATTAAATAAAGTATACCTAATAGATATTAAATAAAGTATACCTAATATCTAGAAGCATGTTTATTTGAGTTGTATATTTATTTGTACCTAATTTCTAGAATGTCTTTTTATTTTCTCTTTAGTCATTATGTATGTTAACTTTCATTATAAATAAGAGAACTTAAAGTAAAAATTCAAGCTCTCTAATTACATATTTTTCCATTTTTTTTTATCTATCTTAAGTGTTCTACAAGAGGTATGACAGAAACTATATACGCTACATTTTACTACGCGTGTGGTATAGCAGTCTCAAGTACATGAAATGCAAATTAAGTAGTATAAACACAGAAAGGTCAGTAAATATTGATAAAAGAGCAAAATACTTGCAAGTATTTTAACTCACCACTACGTTTATTAGATGTACAATGCAACTGAATTTCATGGGCTGAAACAAAAAATGTGCAGAAACACATGCTGAAATGCACTTCTCCCTGATTAAAAAGAAAATAAAGTACACTTCTCACATAAACATGCCAAATCCAATGTTCACATCACAGACTTGGTGAAATGTACAAATCACCAACAGAAAAAAGGTCAGTGCCACCTAAATACAAATGGCCCAATGGGCCAGCTCAAACCTAAAATAGCCACTCCACTTTAGGCAGGTATTAAAGCACATGTATTACCCGAATCAGATGGCAAGTCTACATAAAAAAGCTTTCATTTTACAGTATTCAAACATTGCAAACCACATTCACCTCCCCCGAATTTCATCTAACACCATTCAAAGACTAATCTATCAAAATACTAAAATTAATTTAAAAGATTAACCTCTTCCAACGCATGTTTTCCCATACACGCAAAAGTAAAGATCAAACTCTTAATGCGTTAGAGACAGGACTATTTGTCAATTATGTAATCACCTTTTAAAGTCTGCTTCACAAATTTATGTATAACCTGTAATTAAAGATTCAGTTATATACACATTAAGACAAGAACGCTATACCTTCCTTTCTAGTTACAAGTACATTGGAGAATAACCACTGGAAACTGGAATGAACCAATAAGAAATCACTAGCTTATTTCACCTCTTCAAACAGCCTTCGGCATAAAATTATAAATTCCCAAAAGAAGCTTAAACAAAAAAAAACATCTATTCTTTATCAGAATTTGGCAATCGTTTCTGTAGTTGAATACAAAGTTCTGATATTCGGGACAGCAACTTACGCTGTTGGTCGATGGAGTTTAATGAATGAATACTAGTTAACTTTATTGGATTATCAAGCAACTGTTGGAGCTGACAACATAGATGCGAAGCTTCTGGGTCATTTATGCAAGTTTCAGATATAAGTTGCAGCAATTTAAAGGTTTGGTCTTGGAACAAAGATTGATAACATGGAACTGGGGGAACTAGAAAAGGATGCTGGAGCAGCTGAGGAATTCTCCACCTTTCATTGCGATCCCAAGCACGACACCTTTTCAAAAGATCCAGAAGCCAAGGATTTTAATCTGCTTCGTACGTAATTTCATGATTTGGATCAGTTATAACTTTGAATTTGGCCCAAAATGTCTTGTAATCTGAAAAGGATGTTCTCCCATATACCATTTTATAAAGAATGTAGCCAAAGGACCAGCCAGATATCTGATGGCCGACCACATTTTATGATGTTTCCACTCGCATCACTCTCATTGCACATAAATGCTTCTGTGGCATGTAACTTAGAGTACCAACCTACAGTAGAAAGAGAACTAAGTAAAAATTAAACATTTTCTCTGATATAATTGATCTCTTAAAAAAGCCCAGCAAAATATGGTTGAGCTATAAAATTTCTTTAGTTACATCTTATTCATTCGGGAATGGACTTTCCTGAAAGCATTTTTTTACTATTTCAGAAAGCTCGAATGAGGGTGGCTCAATAATTTGTTTCAGCACAGGATGTTAAGCCCTCACATGACTTTTAAGAAGTCATAGAGTTTGAAGACTATCAGATCCCATTGTTCAGTTGCTCCAGTCCAACTCAATCATGAGCGTTGAGTTTGAAAACATACAGCATGAGAACTACGAAGGGGCAGAAAGGGAATTACAGAGAACTAGTTATGGGAGAGCAAATATGGCGTAATGCTCCATCTGGTGGGAGAGGGGAGAGAAAAAGTTAGCTTTTGCTTTTCAGTTAGTTGGGAGAAAGATGTGAATCTTCTTAGGAACACTAGCTCTTTGCAGAATTCATTCTGCGCTGAATTCTTCTCCATTAATAATATATATCATATCATTCTCCATCTTGGTCTCTTGACGGTCCATGAATTAAAGAGTTAGTATGTACCTAACTAGTATACGGTTATAACAAAATAAGAATACAAGAGATACTTCAGTCAGGCACTGCAGTACTTTTCTATATTTGGATAATAAAATTCAGTGAGTAACCTTAAGAAAATGACAGCACATAGAGCGACACAGACAAAGTGTGAAAGACTTGCTTTTCAATTATAGCATTTTGAACAAGTGAACAAAACGAGACAAAAGTGATAGAAACATTACAATCAATTGTCTACCATAGGAAATTTTAAATGCTATAGCAGTACTATTGTGATATAGGTTACAAAACCTCCCTTTTACCCCTTGAACAATGTTCTTTAGGTTTGTGAGGTAAAATTGTGGTTTCTCACCCATTTCCTTATGCATTTTTTGTTTCTAAAATACAATTGAATTCGGAACTTTTCTTCCTTGACCATTACGCAAAAAGATAGCTAGTTTTGAGGTTTGTTCCTTCACACTTTACAAGACAACTTTTTTTCCTGTAATCATTCTTTCTTTGATAGAAACTTTCTAATAAAAGAAATATGATTTCTGAATTAAGGCATCAACGCAAGAGGAAAACCCCTTACAAGTCACTGTATACTCGAGACTCCCACTAACTCTTTAAGTAGCCCTGGACATTTGGGCCTACGGGAATTTGTAATGAAGAACCTATCATTCTTCCAATAAGTTCTGCTAAATTTGTTATGTTCTTTTTCTATTAATTCACACCATTATCTTTTATTTCCTTTACTTCAATACAATAACCTTATTGGTCTTAGATTGATGGGTGTAGTACAAATTATTTAGTTTGTGCTATACAATATTTAAAACTGCATCATCCTGATTCCAGCTACAAGAACCTGAGATTGATAACCATGTATACAAGAATAAAATACCTGTGAGTCACGTTGAATGTTTGTTGTATTACTCATTATTGCTTTGGCTATTCCAAAATCAATCAGTTTTAATGAACCTTTGATAAGGAGGAAGTTGGCTGGCTTCAAGTCAGAATGCACAATACGCTCTTCATAAATTGTGTTGACAGCTAAAAGAATTTGCTGAAGGAATCCACAAAACAGTTTCAGATATATTACTTAGGCAGAGTAACAATACTATTTGATTCTATCCAATAAATAAGTAAATAAATGGAAAACACAACCATCATGATCATTTAAAAAAACTGGCAAAGAGTGCAAGGGAAGATTATTTGATTGTTTCATACATGATTATCAACAAAAATAAATAAATTTTTTGTTTGACACAACTGAAAAGAGGTTGCTTCATATAGAATTTGAAACACGCAAACAAGAGCAGACTAGACACCAGTACACATAAAAGTCCAAAAGGACGTGTTTCTTGCATACTTTTGGATACTCAAACACTAAATCTTGTAACCACTGAACTGAAAAGGCAAAAAAGTAATCATGCAACATGGAGGTTCAGAGAAATGATAAAATATTTTCAAGGATACATTGCAAACTTAAACCTGCCAATAAAACCGAAGCCAGTTCGCATCCATGGTCTGGTTGTTCCCATCAAGTTCTTTCAACTTTTGAGACAACATATGAGCCAAATCAATTTCCCCATATTCAAGCACCATGTATATAAATCCATCATCCTTGACTCTACCAGTCTTATTACCGAAGGAACCATTTATGACTCCCTCAAACAAAGCCTTGTCAGTCACCTAATTTACAAGAATGGGTTAAAATGAATAAAACTAGAATACAAATAAAGTAATCCTAACACATTTAAATCAAATCCATCACAAATACAAACCAAGAAATTATCACAAGTAAAATATTTTCCATTCAAATCAACCCATAATATGCATCAGTACTGTTTCTAAATGCACATGACCTCTCTAAGATAACTTAATAATTATTATATTTTTAAAACACACGAAGGTTAAACCCCTAAGAAGGGGTTGGATATCAAAAGAAAGAAGCTCCAGCAATAACATCTCCTAAGAAAGAATCTAACCCCAGAGACAGATTGAGAAAGCAGTGGAAGCCAACTGGAAGATTTGTGTGCATGATCTAAATAATTTGAAACTGACACCTTCTTTGTAAGCAATAGTGAATGAAAGTAACACGGGATCCTTAAAATATTTTAACCATCCAATGATCCTAATTGAGAAAATATTTTAAGCAACATCAGGTTACCCATATCAAGTATATATAAGAAACCTTGGTAAACCTGTGTCATCAGCATGGAACTAAAATCACATTTACCTTATGACAATAAGTCATGACTTACTTAGAGGAATACTTGGAAAAGAATAGAAACTCCAGCTCCACACAATTAGAGTGTATAAGTTTCTAAGTAGTCATCTATAAGGGCATAGGAGAACCAAAACTATTGAAAGAAGCCAGAGGGCGGACATTGGAAATAAAACAAGAAAACTGAATTCACTACATGGTCGGGGTAAGAGGATATAAAACAACAATACTTGGAAAGTATGAACTGACATGCATCATGTTCATAACAGAAATAGGTTGAGAGTACCTCATAATCTATAGGCTGGATAATATTATTCTTTCCTTTCAATCTGTTTAGATACTCAATCTCTTGACAAAAGCTGTATGCAGTGCCATAATCACGATCCCTTAGTTTTATCTTTTGAAGTGCATAGATCGTACAGTCTGATGAAATCACTTTGTGCACCTCAGGGTCATAGGTCCTCTTTTGTGGACCTGAAGGTCTTTTGCAACTTGCATTTTTTTCTTGCTTTTCTAACCTAGAAGAATCCAACTTCATATCTGAAGATAAAGTCAGAGCCTGGGGCTGTATATTGGTAACAGCTACAGACTCTTCCACTTGTCATCACAACAGGAAGTATATTTTGAAACATATTTCCTTTAACATACTTCCTTGTTACTCGTTGGATGGGTCAATCTGCTTAAATGACAACTCTGCGTCAATTTGTGAGTTGTAATCTTGAACTGCACTTGCCACCTGATCAATTGACATTCTATTGGTGGCTTTCAGAGAATCATTGGGTGATTTAACAGTCCCTTGTGTTATAGAATGAGGATTGACATTCAGGTTCCCATAAGTTTCTGGAGCCACGTGTGAGTCACTGCTATCTGTACAGGAATTAGAATAATGACTTATAGAATTCAGCATTGGAGCTGAAGTTGAATGGACTGATGTAGTTGTAGGGCATGGCAATCCCACAACAGAAGATTGTGTAGCCGGATGACTCAAAGTTTTTCAATTGCTGCAGATGATCTTTGGAACAATGAGTAACTATTCTTCTCTTTGGAAGCAGAGAACTCTTGCCTCCCTCGGATACCAAACTAGTCTCATACTCTGGCTACTGCATACTGTGGTGTTTCACCTGTTCACTGAATCCAAATGATGCCTCATCTGTCAATGCAAGTGAACTCATATGAGATGATATGTACTCCATTTCAGTGCTTTTACAACATTGACCCCTGCATGTTAGAAGAGAGGGGAAAAAATATATATGGCAGGGTATAGTGACTTCTTCGGGACATGTAGCACTTTTCAAAAAGGAGTCTCTCACAATGCAGGAATAATTTCTCAAAATAACAATTTACACAGATAGAAGAGTTTCCAATGTAACAATCCTAATAGTGAGTGATTTATTCTTAATTTGAAGTTAAAGAATTAGAATTGTAATTAATATAAGAAAAAATGTGTGGTGGTATTTATTCTATCCACAATGTCCAAAAAACTACCTCACGAAGTGTACCAGCCAATCCAAGCCTGGGTAAAGGAAGAGAATTGTATCAGGCCTTCAACAACTAATCTAAAATCTATGAAATCCCAAATAAGGATCACTCACTATGGACAATATGTGCTGGTATTAAATAACCCGCTGAGATAAAGCTACTCAATTTCGATGTAGTGTTAAATGAGCAATAATCCTCATATTTATTTTATGTCAGATGTAGGTAAAGAAGGAAGCTAATCCAGGAGTACCCGATTAACCTTGGCACTTGGGATATGGCTATTATTGTTAGTGGATAAATTGTTAGTAACCATAGTCAAAAAAGAAAATGCAACTTTCAGCATAAAAATTGTAAAGCTGATTTGCAGTCATGTACTAAAAAGTTGAATTGGTATGGATTTGCACTTGGTTTATTAAAGTGTTAAAAGAGAGGTAATAATAGTGAATGATGCAGCTAAATTATAGGTATACCAAAGCATGCAAAAAATAACAAAAAAATTACCCTGCGGCTATGAATTTGAATTCTTGCTCTCATTTGAAAAACGAACCTTCTTGTGCGCACCGACACTCTGAGATTCCACCTGCAGAGAGGGTTTATTCTTGCAACCTTCATCGGTGCACGTGTCCGAAATCGACGGAGGATCCTCGTAGGACTTGTTCGAGATATTTCGCTGCGCCACCATGGAGCGCTTCGGCCTCAAGCTATGCGATTGCGTCGAACCTGAAGATGCATTAACGGAAGAAAGCGAAAGACGTAGGAAACGAAAAAACGAAAGTGAGAGTGGCATTGGAGGGGTAAATTGGGAATTGAAATACCGAGAGGGCGATGGCGCTTGAGAGCAGGTTGGACTTGTTTGAAGAATTCCGAAGAGGAAGGGGAAGAGGCGCGAGGGAGAGAAAGATTAGGGTTGTCATCCATGGAATGCCGCATTTCTAATCCCGAATGGGACTTTCTTCGTGTGCGTGATGTTCCATTCCACTGCTGAAGAAGAGTGATGCTGCTATGCTTCCCAGTTCCAGATTGGAGACACCTTTCTTTCTTTATTTCAGTTGCCGCTTCCAATGTTGTTTAATTCCTTCTCATGGGCTTTGTCAACTGGACTATGTTGCATGGTGTAAGGCTCTTTCTTACTGCACCTTCCTAGTTTCTTACACCCCATATGAAATAACAAAATTGTTGATTTTTCGAACTACTTAAAAAGGTCAACCAAAAATATTTTCAGAACACGGAAGCAACAAAAACAATATGGACATAATAAGAAGGAACATGCGAGAGGTGTAAAAGACCATCAACATTTCTTTTTCCTGCACCACCAACATTTTAATATTCCAAAATTAACCATTTCTTCTAAGGGTGTTGAAAGAGGAACTAATAAAAATATCAAAAATCAATTAAATAATCGAACTAAATTGTTTATTATATTAAATAAAATATTATATGTGTAAAATTGATTAAAAACTATCAAAAAAAATTTATAATATATTTATATTTATCAGATAACAAATTTGTCTTCTAATTTTTAATTAAAAAATTACATGATTTATTTATTAATATGAGATTAATTCATAATTATGTATTTAAAAACAATTATAAAAAAATTACAATATGTTTATATTTGATAATTTTTATTAAAAAATTTTAATAATTTAAAAAAAATGTTTAATCGTTTTATAATAACAAAAAAAAGTTGATTTATATTAACTATATTTAGTTTAAATTTTATATTAAATTAAAATCGAATCAATTTAAACTATTTTTATTATATATATATATATTAGTACATTGAACACACGTGGGAGAGGGAGATCGACTTCAGGTAATAGGAAACATAAGTTTGAATACATACTAGTCATGTAAATTAGTAATAATAATATAGATAATAATAATAGATTATAATTGATATAAAATAGCAATTTATATATATATATTAATAACAAATTAAATAGGAGACTTAATGATAATATGTAAATGTAAGATAAATATCTTATTTATCATATTTAATGGACCGGACAAGATAAATATGAATTATGGTAAAAAAATTATCATGAGTACTATAAGGGTGATGAAAAGAAAGTATTAGTGAAGAAAATTTATGTGACTTGTTATTAAATTTAAAATTTTATATGTGATGATGAGACAATAGTAGGACTATCTAACAAAAAATGAAAAAAATTGATTAGATGGAAAGCTTATTAGAAATATAGAGACTCGAATTTGAATATTGAAGATATCTAAAATAGTTTAATTGTAAAATATTATTATGATTTGTTAAATCACCTATATAAATTTTTCATTTTGAGGATTGATAAGAGTAAGTTCTACCGTAAGCTTTGGCATTGGTTTAGAAATATGTGATTTAAAAACAGTGGTGATCAAATCCTAGTATGAGTTTTTTTTTCTTAAGGGTTGAGATTCAAACCCATGGTGAAATCCTAGTCTGAATTTTTTTCTCTTAAGATCAAATGTAAAACCTAAATCTCAAATATTTTAAACATTATAAAAGTATTTTATAATGAATTCTTTTGCTTTCTCAAAACTCAAAGTTTGAAGGTTTTAGGTTATATATGAAATGATCATTCCATGCTTTATTTATAGATGAATATATCTTCTTAATTTGAGTATTACTAATCGATTTTCAGATAAGATTCAATGAGAAATTATTCTCTTAAGTTTATATTTCATTGAAACTTATAATTATCTCAAATATATTTCACATTACTGACTTGTGTCTTTAACATGTATCCTAACCGTTGACCTAAGGAAAGAATCTCAAACATTTTTCATTTTCTTTCTGTTATTAATAACTATTATAATCAATCTTCAAAAGATGATTTCCAACATACATCACTAATGTCAAATGAATGTCCGAACCTTTTTGTCTAACATATATTTACGTAGTAAAAGTAAGGTAAAGATGTATCTAAGAGCACAACCATTATAAAAAGGACTATTTGCACTAAAAGAGTGATATGTCACCATCTACCAGAGACATGTAATGTAAAAAAAAAGAAAGTCTTTCATGCAATCTCACAATGCCCACATGCATGTAGAAGGTATAAAAGGCAAAAATCAATTGCAGGAAGACATTGAATCAAGATAAAAAAGAAAAAAAAAAGTAAAGTGCGCACCAAAAATAGCTTTTAAGTCTATAAAAATTAATTAATGATATAATTTTTTTATTTAAAAAGTTATATATTCAGTAAGCTCAATCCTATTATCTCAAACGTACATACTTAGTCTGTGTCCTATTTTTTTTTTATTAAGAAAAAAGATAGAAAAAGAGAAAGAAGGAAGAAACCATTGAAGGTCCAGTCCTAAAAAAAAAAGAAACTTTTGTATTGAAGAATTCCGGATATTAGAAAAGATGTAACATTAAAAATAGAAAAATTGATACAAATCACATAAGTATACATAAAAAAAGAAGAAGCATGTTGTGTTGTGTAATTACATTAAATGTTGAGAGAAAAATAAAAAAAGTTCTAACAGTCCTTCAAGGTGAGAATATATGTTCTTCGTTCTCAGCTTGTACATATGAATTTTGAATTGTGTGGAACGGTTTTGTCAATAAATTGGCAACTTGCAAAATAGATGGAATGAGAAGAAGCTTGAATAATCCTTGAAGAACCTTCTTGCGAATAATATGATAGTCAAATTTGATAAGTTTGGTGTGTTCATGAAAGATTGAGTTAGATACTATTTGAATTACAAATTGATTATCACAGTATAGAACAACTACTTCGATGAAGGGAACACGAAGATTTTGTAATAGATATGTCAGTCATTGAAACTCGCATGTGGTGGTGACAAAGGCTTTATATTATGCTTCAAAAGAACTACATGAAACAATTTGTTGTTTCTTTGATTTTCAAGCTATAAGAGAATCTCCAAGATAAACGACGAGTTCAGTAACAAATTTTCTGGTGGTGGGACATGTGACTTAGTCAGAATCGTTGAAATCTTTTAAATAACAGTAATTTCGCTAAAAAAGAAAAACTCATTTCCTGGAGTAGAGTACCCTTTAAATAGTAAAGGATACAGTTGGCAACTTGTTGATGTAAAATGGTAGGAGCAGCTATGAATTGGCTGAGGTGGTTAACGATGAAGGTGATATCCGAATGTGTATTAGTGTTTTTGGTGAAAATTTTGGTTTTGTTTCGATTTCCCAAAGACTAAGTTCTAACCAAATTTCAACCACCGTAAGTTCAATTTATTTAGGCTAGCAAACAAAGTTTTTTAATCAAAACGTATGAAACGATAAATTTAAGTTTGAAACATGGAAAACGTATTTAAAAGCATACAGACATCAATGAAAATCGAAAGTTCTTTTCTTGTATTTTTTAATTATCAAAGAATTGAAATAACTGGAAAGTACAGAAAGGTAAATTTAAAGTGCATGCAGATAAATTACCAAGGAGAGTAAAAAAAGCGGTAAAAGATATCGAGACGAAAAGTAATACAAAATTTTAAATTGCACAAGAGTAAATGACCAAGGAATTGAAATAACTGGAAAGTACAACAAGGTAAATTTAAATTGCATGTAAATAAATTACTAGGGAAAGTAAAGAAAGCGGTAATAAAAGTCGATAAAAGTGGAAATCCAGATTGCCAAAAATTCCATGATCGTCGTTCTTCAACATAACCACCTAAGAACGATTTAGAAATAGCTATCCCATGTTATCATGTGCGAGATAACTGCTCCCCTCGATTTCGACCCCAGATATCAAGTACTTTAAACTGCTTCTGATCACCTAAGAACGGTTTAGAAATTGCTACCCCATGTTCCCATGTGCAAGATAATTGTTTCCCTCGATTTAGACTCTAGACATCGAGTACTTTGAACTGCTTCTGACCACCTAAGAACGATTTAGAAATCGCTACCTCATGTTCCCATGTGCAAGATAACTTTTTTCCTCGATTTTGACTCTAGACATCGAATACTTGAACTGCCTCTAACTTCCCTCAAACTTAACTTAACACTCGATACTTATTATCGATTTTTTACTCTCAATCATGTTCATCGAATTTCCTCTATCTTGTTTCGATTCATATCTCGATTTATCTACTTTCTAATCTATATATCGATTTATCCACTTTTCGATTCATATATCGATTTTTTCCAACACATGGTCATCGAATTTCTTTCACCTACTTTTCGATTCATATATTGATTTTTCCCACCAACAATTAGTTAGATAGATAAGTTTACCAATGAGAGGTCTAAAAGAAGAGGAATCATTGTCATTAAGGTGGGAAACATTAGTGAGGGGGGATAGAGAGGAATGAACCATGGGAGTGGTGATGGGAGCACTATCTTGCATTTCAATTTGTTTTAGCAAATCAAGAATGTATTTTCTCTAGCAAAGGTGAAGGTCAGTAGGATTTCGGGTGACTTCGATGCCGAAGTAGTAAGTTAAATCTCCAAGGTTTTTGATGCAAAAAACAAAGTGCAAGAGTGATGTAATATGCTAAATTTTATCGTTGTCATTGCCAGTGATTATAATGTCATCAATGTAAACAAGGATGATTATAGTGTGGTTGTTATTGTGATTCACGAAGAGAGCATGATTTGTTATGGAATGTTTAAAATAATTTTTAAGCAGGAAATGAGATAATTTTTCATACCACTGTCGACCAACTTATTTGAGGCCATAGAGAGATTTTTGGAGTTTACAAACTTTGTTTTTATTGCAAGTATGCATTAGAGTTGTTTGATGATCCATCTTTTGGAGGTGGCAAAAGCAAGGGCACTTAGGGAAGTAAGTTTAGCAACTGGAGCAAAAGTGATGTGGACATAAAGGCCCAAGCCCATAACGAGAAGGATCAAGACCAAGATCCAATCCAAGACTTAGGTGGACCTATGACAAGAGGCAGACTCACAAAAACACAAGAGGCATTGCAACACAAAGTGACCAATTTGCTAAAGGCCTAAT